AATTGTGGATCTAGCACAGACATGCTCCAATCGGCCGTTTTACCATAGCGAAAAGTGGATCTGGCCATGTAGTTCCGCCGGCTCAAAAAATGGATCCAGTTAGCGCTACTGTACGGCCTAGAGAAAGCGTCGTCAACAAAAAACGACGGCATGGCCCCTCTCAGGCTTCTCTCTGATATAAGCATATGCATAGAAAGAAATCGATGAATCATAATAAATGAACAATCCAATACAAAGATAAACAAACAGGTGATAAAACCTAAGAAGAAACTTCATTTAGCAAGAATCAATACCAAACATAACGCGATGTAACCAGCTGTGAAAACTCGCGAAATCAGGAGTGAAAATCACGACGTCAACATAACCATACCTGTGGAATCGTGCGATTGTGGGCGATAAATCTCATTTTTATTTATTAAAATGGAAGACGAAGAGATAGTATATAGTGTTTTAGTCTTCAGCTATATTTTACTAAAGAAACGTTTTTCAAAGAAACATAAAAGAAGATGGTGGGTGCGTCCTATTAATATGAGAATTTAGCAAGAAAATTTTGCACATCTTTTTCAAAAATTAAAATATAATAAAGATATGTCTTTGTTATACTCGTATCGATAAAAATTTAATTTATTGTTAAATAAAATACACGTACACTTAAAAAAAATCTAATTGGCGAGCATTGCTTTTAGAACAAAGTCTTATTATTATAACTTTAATGATTTCTAAAATAATCATAAATTATATATATCTTTATAACTCATAAAATTTTCATAATTTTTCTTTTTAACTCTTGTTTTTTTTTTGTTCTTTTATTTTGCGTAATTGATATGCGATGGTAGAACTAAAATAATCATCTTCATCCATTTTCTGTTTTTCTAGGAAATGTTGAGATATAATAGATGATAAATTTAGAAATAAATTTTCTACTTTATCTGTTTCTTCTGTATTTGCCATTTTTTTTCTATATTTGCCTTCTTTCTTATTTTCTGGCATAGCTTTCATGCATGGTTTTATTGATGGTGACGATAATGGTCTCACCATCTCAGATGATAGTGGCGATAATAGTCTCATCATTTCAAATGAAGTAGATGCAGTAGAAAGGCTAAAAAAATTTATTTATATACCCTTACTATTGATATAATTTATAATTATATATTTATCATTACTCAGCAAACACAGAACATTGCAGTAACATTGTGGCAATGTTGCAACATTGTAACCACATTACAGCAACATTGCCGCAATGTTGCTGCAATGTTCTGTGTTTGCTGGGTATATATAAACTAAATCTTTTAAATTTATAAATTTGCAAATATATTTGTAAATATATTTCCTAATTAATAAAATATTGCAATAATGTTTTATTAAATTATACTATAAAGTTATGCTTACTTGCTAGATGCAACTGCAGTTACATATTTTTGCGGAATATGTATATTTCTTGCATAGGAGCAAAATGTGTTCCTTTGGGTATAATATTTGTATAAGTTCTAAAAATATTAAACTAATTATATAAAAATAACAAAAACATATAGTCAAATTTATTTTATTAAAGAATAATTAGATTTACTTTCTGGTTTTGACAAAAGAATCCAAAAATTTCATCTGATCATATAATATAAATGTTGACCTTGTGCATGCCTTATTGTCACTTTTGGTTTCTAATTCTCTTTTTTCTTTTCACGAGAAAATTTTTCTCGAAGTCTTTGCCATTTGCTTTGACAATCTGGGACTATAATTAGAAAAATTTTGATTAAAATTAAAGTTACGAGATATATAAAAGGTTAAAATATATAAAAAAACAATCAAGAAAATTACCTGATAATTTTAAAATGGAAGAAATCTTCATCCATGCACGATCTTTTTTGTGTATATTTTTGAAATCAGCTATACTTTTATCATAAAGATGAGGAAAATTTTCAAGATCTATTAAAACAGTATCGGTATCTTCTTCAGTATATTCATATGTATAATTTTGGGTGAGATCATTTATTTGTTCAGAATCCATGTGTAAAATTGCTTTTGATAAAAATCAAAGTTACGAGATATATAAAAGGTTAGAATTTATAAAAAACAATCAAGAAAATTACCTGCTACTTGAATGTCACTTAAATGTCTCTGTGTTTTCCTATTTTTACTATTGAATAATTATTCCTCGAAAAAGTTTTCTTTGGTTTTCTTGTGGTTATTTAGCACGAGACATGTACTACATTAATCATAGATATAGTACTCTGAGCTGCCAGATTGAAGATCCGAGCAACGATCAATCGGATGCACACACAAGCGAAAATCACGTACGTGTGCTAGCACTCTGCCCACTCTGCGCAGCCATGTACACGACTCTCGACTGTGTGCGTTCGGTGGCTTGTTGCTCGAGTCTTCAATCTGACAGCTCTGATAGTAATATCAGAGAGAAGACTGAGAGTGGACATGCCCGCATTTTACGTGTTTCTGTGGGTTAGCGCCTCTATGTGCACAAAACGTGCACATTGAACTACGTAGCCAATGTCCACGAATTCCGTAGGTAATGTCTTTGATCTAACGATCTAATGATCGTCCACGATCTTTTGGATTTCTTCCGTGCTACGTCCACGACTTTTTGGTTCCGATATGTGCTATATCTACAAGTGTCGGTAATGCATACTTGTAAAACATGATTATGTATATCAGACGTTAGTTGCACATTTCAACTTGATTCTTGAGACGACGCCTCCCGCTGTCTCACTACCGCGCGGCCGCTGGCGGCCGAACCGCCGATAGCCTTGAGTCAGGAGCGTCTGTGTAACGAATTGGCTGATGATGAGCGGGCACCTTTCAGAAAATAAAATTTTCTTTGTTATAGAAATAATATTTATTTTTACTAATTATAATTAAATATCTTTATTACATTCATTATAATAATTTACGTAGACAATAATATATAATATTAAAAAAATAAAAATAATTAAAAAATTTAACTTTTTAATAAAAATTGTATGGTTTTTTAATTAGAAATCAATAGCTTTCCACATTACCCTTGAGATACTATTATGAATGCGTTTTTTAAAAAGTGGTTTCCCCAATAGGCCTATTTTACTAAAAAATAACAAAGATAATATCTATATTTAATATCTATATAAATATGGCTTGGCAGAAAATTTTATATAGGGCTTAGATGATATATTATATTTAAGATAACAAAAGAGAAACAAATAAAAAAATTAAATAAATTAAAAAAAATAGAAATAGTTAATTTATAAAACGTTTGTTGGATTTTTTTGGTCATTTGCATGATTTTATTAAGGATATCCACAGAAATAGAAGAACTAGTTCGCATCAAAGAGAATAATAATGCATTGCTCACAAAAGAACGCCTTTCCGTTTTTATTAATTTTATTTTACAGAAAGAGTATTTGCATAAATATGTACCGAAGGCGTTTATTATCAATATTATATTATAATCAATATTCGAATTACTTTTATGGTAAATTAAATTTGGTAACTTAAATTTTAAAATATAAGGACAAAAAGAAATGTAATTGAATGGTAATTTAAATTTTAAAATATGAGGACAAAAAGAAATGTAATTGAATTAAAGTACTAAAATTAATTTACAATAAAAGTAATCAGGATATCGAGAGATCTTTCAATCCTTCCAGGCGGTTTTTCAAAATTCGAAAATTTTTGAAAAAATTTGGGGTGTTGGGAACTATGGGTCGCCACCTTTTTATGTTTGAAATCGAGTACCTACGTCAATGTGTCTCGTTGAGACAAGCAACTTTGGTCCTATGAACATACAGCGGCCAATAAATAATTACAGAGTTATAGCTCTTTTTCGTCGCCGATTTTTTCGTTATCGGGGCCTGTAACTCGGAAACTATAGGAAATAGAAGATCGGACCATAGGACTTCATTGGCAGGGTATCGACAGATCTTTCAATCCTTCCAAGCGGTTTTTCGAAATTCATAAATTTTTGGAAAAGTTTGAAACCGAGTACCTACGTCGATGCATCTCGTCGAGACAAGCAACTTTGGTTCTATGAACATACAGCGGCCAACGAATAATTTCGGAGTTATAGCTCTTTTTCGTCGACGATTTTTTCGTTATCGGGGCCTGTAACACGGAAACTATAGGAAATAGAAGATCGGATCATAGGACCTTATTGGCAGGGTATCGACAGATCTTTCAATCCTTCCAAGCGGTTTTCGAAATTCATAAATTTTTGAAAAAGTTTGAAACCGAGTATCTACGTCGATGCGTCTCGTCGAGACAAGCAACTTTGGTTCTATGAACATACAGCGGCCAACGAATAATTTCGGAGTTATAGCTCTTTTCGTCGCCGATTTTTTTTCATTGGGGCCTATAACTCGGATACTATACGAGATAGAAGATCGGACCATAGGACCTTATTGGCAGGGTATCAAAAAATCTTTCAATCCCTTCAGGCGGTTTTTCGAAATTCGTAAATTTTTAAAAAAATTTGGAGTGTAGTCACGTTTTTCGTTCCGTACGCCACGTTTTTCGTTCCGTACGCGTCACGTTTTTCGTTCTGTACGTCACGTTTTTCGTTCCGTACGTTACGTTTTTCGATTCGTATGCGTCACGTTTTTCGGTCCGTACATCACGTTTTTCGTTCCGTACATCACGTTTTTCGTTTTGTACGCGTCACGTTTTTCGTTCCGTATGTCACGTTTTTGTTCCGTACGTCACGTTTTTTGTTCTGTATGCGTCACGTTTTTCGATTCGTACGCGTCACGTTTTTCGTTCCGTACGTCACGTTTTTCGTTCCGTACGGTACGTTTTTCGATTCGTACGCGTCACGTTTTTCGGTCCGTACATCACGTTTTTCGTTCCGTACATCACGTTTTTTGTTTTGTACGCGTCACATTTTTCGTTCCGTACGTCACGTTTTTGTTTCGTACGTCACGTTTTTTGTTCCCGTACGCGTCACGATTTTTGTTCCGTACGTCACGCTTTTCGTTCCGTACGTCAAGTTTTTCGTTCCGTACGCGTCACGTTTTTCGTTCCATACGTCACGTTTTTCGTTTCGTACGCGTCACGTTTTTTGTTCCGTACGCGTCACGTTTTTTGTTCCGTACGTCATGTTTTTCGTTCCGTACGTCACGTTTTTCGTTCCGTACGCGTCACGTTTTTTGTTCCGTACGTCACGTTTTTTGTTCCGTACATCGTTTTTCGTTCCGTACGTGTCACGTTTTTCGTTCCATACGTTACGTTTTTCGTTTCGTACGTCACGTTTTTTGTTCCGTACGCGTCACGTTTTTCGTTCTGTACGTCACGTTTTTCGTTCCGTACGCGTCACGTTTTTTGTTCCATATGCGTCACGTTTTTTGTTCCGTACGACACGTTCGTTTCATTTCGCACGTCCGTTTCGTTCCGCACGTCTGTTTCGTTCCGCACGTCCATTCCGTTCCGCACGTCCGTTTCGTTCCATCCGTCAACAATAAAGAAGCTGAAAATCGTCTATTGTTTAATAATAATTAATTGCAAATTGAGACCCTCCGATAACGTTTTTTTAGTTTTACCGACAAAAAGTATCAAGGGAACTTGAAATTTGAAACAACTTTCAGTGAGACATTTGTTCCTCACTATTGAAGGAAGATTTCTGGAAATTTTCAGATCGATTCATTGTAACACACAGGGAATTTTTCTTTTTCAGAGAAATTTTGAAGAAGTGAATTTATTCGCGGAGCACTTATTTTCGGATTTTCTTTAACTTTCCTAGCTACAAACGCTCTTCTGAGAAATTTATTAATTTCTTCCTACCATATTACCTAATTTATTTCTACATTTTATATAAGGTAATATTCTGGAACACTGTCTTAATATAAAATAATATTAGCTCCTGCATACGCATATTGCATAAAATTTCAACGATATGAAATTCTTCTGCTTATGCATATGCCACATTTATGTTTTGTGCTTTGACTATATGTATAAACATGGACTGTTAGTCGGAAGATTCGGCCTTAGACAACATTGAAAAGTGCCCTCTGAGTTTGGGCCAATAACTAACGGGTCGTGACGTCACGTATGGCAGTCACGCATATTTCATTTTCTATGTATTTTGTGAAAACAATGTGCGCAAATTCGCAAAATAATAAGGAAAAAATCTGTGGAAAAATAAAAAATGGTTCGTTACTATTTTATCGAAGGCTACAGAAGCACAAAATACCAACGGCAACATGAAGAAAATGACACCAACTTGAATTTTTTGCGTATGTACTGATTTTGTAATTATAACCTACAATAATTTAAAATGCATTTTCAGAAATTTACTAGATTATATTTTATTTTATTATTTATTCTAAAATATTTCTTTCGGCTTAACTTTTTTGTTAATTACGAATTACGATGAGCATGTTAAAGACTTAGATATTTTACAAAACCATAAATACGAATTAATAAAATTATTTATATCGTTATATATAAAATATATTATATCGTTAAATATAAAAATGTCATATTTAGGAAAAACACTTACTTATAAGGCTCATGACACTTTTGTTAGACATATTAATAAAAAATTGACAATATGGAAAGGTCAATAATTTTATCTATATTATACTATTATATTTATAATATCATTGTTACAAATTCTATTTTTAAATTATATTAAATAAGTTTTTATAAATAATTGATTACAATTTAAATCTTTGATCCTACTTACCTCCTCGGATCATATTTGAATTTCCCGCTTTTTGGCCCAAAGGTGGTGCCTATTTCTTTTCTATGCGACCTACGCTGCTTATGCTAGAGCACTATAGATGTAAATATTCTCACGTCTGCGCCATTTTTGTCCCATTTTTCCTCCTTGCCCTCTTGGTCCCTACAAAGTTCGAGCAGCTTAGAAGACATAACCTAATCATCATAAACTTCTCAGCTCAGTGACAAAGGGTTGAGAGGGCAAAGAGTGGGGGAATGAGACAAAAATGGCGCAGACGAGAATACTCACGTTTATAGTGCCTTACTTATGCATTGCTTAAATGGGAAAAGTGAGGTGAACTGGCAGTCCATGTTTATATAGTCAAAGTGCAACAATCGTAGCGATTTTGTCCATTTAGATGTGATTGGTTTAAATCTCTGCATACTCTATGCGAGGTTGCTGGATACACAAAATTTTTCGACACTATGTATATGATATGCTTACGTTTTATGCGACAATATGGCGTCCCTTATATAAGACATATGATTGGTCATTTTCTCTATGTATATGCATATGTCATTTTCTTTATGCTTATGTAGTTATGCAAGTTTGTCTGGATAGGTCTTTATATTTGTAATAAATCTGCTTATGTCTGTTTATACCAATGTTTAAAAAATTAATCCCTAGTAACACTCAGTTTATCACGGTGTAAGAATAGAACTGTTCTTTATAG